AAGGTGTGTGTGTGTGAGAGAGAGAGAGAGAGAGACTGTTGGGGGGAGGAGAGAAAGGTGTGTGTGAGAGAGACAGAGATTGCGGGAGGGGGAGGGAGAGAGAGAAAGGTGTGTGTGTGTGTGAGAGAGAGAGAGAGAGAGAGAGAGAGAGAGAGAGAGAGAACAGAGGAGGCAGTGAGAAGAGGAAGAGAAAACGTACCGTTATTCTGTACAGTCCATCTGGATTCGAAGTCTTTTTGTAGTCAACGATCACGAAGTAAGAAAAGATCTTGAATTTCACTGCTGACAGACGAGTCTTCGGGGTGTCTTCAAAGAATTCTTGTCTTGTTATTACATACCAAAACCAGGTTGTATTAGACTTTGCCATGATACCGTAAACGTTGGTCGGGGTGTTATATTTGAAGACTCTCCCATCACATGTAACATAGCGGACATCACCATGCGCATGGCATTCACAAGCCGGGATTGCCGCTGAAATGGACGGGGGCAACTTGAATGATAAAGGAACACTAATTTGGATACATTCCAGTACCTCCATCATAGGTTCACCGTAAGCATTAAATGGTCTCATTAAAAGTTAATTATATGCAAGACACAATGCATCAAAAGAGGATTGTGAAAGGTCAAAACTTCTGTATTGAAAAGTTTTGGGACATATGATATGTAAGACAGCTAAGCTGTCAAATGTACAAACAAAAAGCAGAAAAAAATGATAAAATAGGAAACTGTTAATTCTGATGCAATAATACGTTAATCTTAACAGCAGAGTCAGAACCAAATTTTTAATTATGTAAAACAGGCAATATGGATATAAGTAAAATGTGAACTAACATAACGCTTCAGGACCATGAAGGTTTGGAATAAAAAAATGAAAATTTTACAACAAATTTCATACATTCGAGAAAATGTAATAACCCAATCAAGCTGCTTTTCCAACTTGAGATGTATGTCAATCCATTCTTTTAAGTTACAAAATAATAAGTACATGTAACACATTTTTCCTGTCATAATGTTTGTGACAGTGCACAAAGTAGGTTTATGACAATTATGTACAGTATAACATAATTATTAAAAGCATAATCACCAGTAAATTTTAATTGTCTACTATACAAAATATTTGAATTCAGGTCATATAAATTTCATTCGACTTTATGTTTTGGGAGTTTTAAATTACACAATGAAAATACCAATATGTGAAAAATAAAAATTTCATTAAGAACTGCATAAAAATGAATGCAATCATTCTGGTTGTCCAACTGAAACTACATTTCGGTCCCATGAATCTGTTCAGAACGTTTGAGAATCAATACGTAACATGGTTTTCCTTTTATGACCATTGTGGCGGCAGTGACCAAAACATGGTTTTCTTCAATGTTGATGCAATATTACATAATGCTTAACAGCATTATCACCGCCACTTTTTAATCACATACTAAAAGTATCAGGAATATTTAAAAAATGTGACTTGCAAAAATCTTCAAGCCCACGGAAGCTCAAGGCCACACCTTAAAAACGCCTTTATGTGATAAGTTTTGAAAATTTGAAAAATTCCACAAACAAAATACTGTATAACTTCCAGAGGAAAAAACGAATCAGGCTTGTTTTCCAACTGAAGCTGTATTTTAGTCCCTTGAATATTTTCTTTAAGTGTAGGAAAACTACACATGTATGTGACATGGTTTTCCTTTAATATAAAGGAGAGTGATTCCCCATATATCGCTAGTACCTAAGCAAGCAACGAATGAACATAAAATGATTGAAACTGGTAACTGTTGTCAGCGTTGGATTCCCTCATAGCGATTTACAGGTAAATATTTTGACCACGAATCTGGAAAATAGCATTAAGTCGATATCCAACCTAAAAGTATGCAACGGTGTCCGTATTTCGAGCCTGTTTGTAAATTTCATTGCTAAATCTTTCGCGTTTCCGGACACTAAGTAATACAATAAACAGAGGACATTGGTCAGCTTTCTACACAAAGAACATTTTGATGTAACACCTAACGAAGTCCTGATTTCCTGAAGTATATTATCTTTGAGTCTTTCTTTCGAGTTTCATTGTTAAGAAGCTGTTGGTCAACTACCAGGCATTTACATTTTATCAGCAATTAGTAAGCTTGGCTACTGATGATACTTGATTTGTAAGACTTTTCAGTGATACAATCTCTACCACTTGTGGCGGCATCATATCTCCTGTCACCGAAGTCAGAAAGTCATGAAAGACCGTCACAGACAAAGTAAGAAGATCGCCAGATCCTTTTTTTTTTTGTGCATCCCATGGCAACACACTGAGACTTAACGAAAATTGCCCAACTCCGTTCAACATAACCTTCCTAACTTCACTGTATTCAGTATGTAGCTCAGATGACTCTCGAAAAACCCTTGGTTTGTATGTTGTCACAGGACCACGTGATCCAGATTTGTTGCTTCATTTCTGTATATTGAGTTGGGTTTTCTAAAACGCTTTTTTCTACAAATAAAATGTTTTATACTATGTATATGCTTGTGGTGGTAATGGATTCAACCACATCTCTAGGTTACGGATTGAGTCCTGGATCTCGAGAAATGGAGTTTAACGTAATGGAGTTTAAATCATTTAAAATAAAATTTGTCGGCAACATGTCGGATTTGTTTCGTTACAAGAAATACAGGTTTACAAATTTTACGTAAAACACACTTTTGAGAACTTAAAATCTTAGGGGCAAATTGCCACCAAAACGCGTTTTTTATGGCCCTTAGTGACCCCAAACTGGTTTCACCAGGTTAGAATACCAGAAGACCTCTGAGGAAGCCACTGTAAACAGAGTCGTCTCTTTCTCTAATGAATTGGGACCCGTTTCTGACCGTTTCTGGGTAGATCACTGAAACCGCGTGGCTTTCTTTATTGAGGTCAGATTTCACCTGCACCGCTCATCTAGTCAAAACAGAGTTTACAGACATCCTGAAGAAGCCTACGACGAAACGTGTGCCGCGTCTAAAGTGACTAGGGCCATTGACAGCGTCAGCATCTTGAGTGGATACCACACTGGTGCCACAACACCGATGGTAGTCATTGGGGAAAGCCTGAACCAGATCAAATAAAATAATTATCTGGGAACCACTTGACTATTATTTGATAGGGGGCACCTTAAGAACAATTTTACGTTGCACGATAAGATTGCGGTTCACACAGAGCACTTTTAACAGCAGATAACCTACAGAACCAAGGGAATGAGCAGCTACCTTGGTCATCAAAATCGCCATATTTGAACCACATAGACAATATGTGGGTAGGCCATTACTCGCCAAATCAACGGGCTACATGTCTTAAAACAAAAATGAACCAAATTGGACAAAACTTACCGATGACTAGAATGTTATGTCAGATTTAATTTAACGAGGGTCCTTTGTGGGGCGTGCAATTCTTTAAAAGACGATAATTTGGAAAATATGGAGATCTAAAATATAGCTTTATATGGTCCTCACCCGACTAAGAATAGGCAATGTATTTTTGTTTGCTCCTCTGACGAATTCATTCAATGAATTGATGTCACAATGACACCAAAGGGATAATTAAAATTATTATACGACCATTTTTATCCTTGTTTTTATTTACCAGGCAGCAAAATAGAAAAAAAAACTGATGAAAAAAAGACATTACATATAAAATGTCAAGTCTATATATAGTAGTTTTAAATGAACAAACGTGATAAAAGCTTCAGCTGAATAACATTCTTGCCAACTCTTACATAGGTTAAAGACATCAACGATAAATGTTCGTTTTCATATTCGGTCATGTTTGCAATCTCGGTAAAAAATGTAACTTACGTATTGGACCGGTGGGCAGTGGCTCCTGATCCTCGGCTGGAAGGTTAGCTATCTCAGCCGTAGCATCGTCTCTTTGCGCCTCTTCCTCCGGAGTAAAGGGGATGGGACTAAAGCCAGTAACGGGTGTCACTGTTGTCAAAGCGATGATCAGAAGCACGGCCACACATCTTGGTCCTGACATCTTCAAGAGAGTCCCCTTTCTTTTGTCGAATGTAGCAGAAAAGAAGGAGAAAGAGCAATTGAGAGACTCTCTCTTCCGTTCTACTTATAAATACAACTTTTTAAGGTGGGCACACGCGATTTCTCCACGTTGGAAAACTGAGAGTGCGCATGCTCGTTTTAACAATTTGCGTTGGTTGATGCAGAGGCGTTGTGTGTTTTAGAAATAAAAATTAAGAATAAAAAACTAAAAGGAGAGAGAGAGAGAGAGAGAGAGAGAGAGAGAGAAGAAGAAGAAGAAGAAATTCAATTTAATACTTCTCTGACTCAAATATTTTTACTGTTAATTTCAAAGCATGCTATTGGGGTCTTGGGCATTTCGCTGCAGGTGAGATCTTTTGTGAAGACTGTTAAATAATCAAGTTCATATGTTTCATATATGACTCGGCAGCCCACTACAAAACTAACCTAGACGTTCAAGGAGTACCTTCGATCAAAAGAGCAAGGATGCACACTGTTACACCAATGTGAAGCAGAAAAGTAATATCTGGGCGAAATTGCTTTATGTTATAGCGATGCTCGAATTTGCCGGTCAACCCCATTTTATGATAACGTAATTTATTTGAGCTAGCTCATCCCCCATTCATTTTCTTTTCCTATCAACCAGTTTTAATGCCTCACAATTTTATGACACTATATTGCTCACCCAAAAATATCCTTGTTGAAGACCCACCATGACACTTTTCTCGTTAATTGAGTCACAGTTAATTATATATATATCCTAACGAAAAAGTCCTATAGGATCCTATAAGATCCTATAGGATCCTATAGGAAATTGGGCCAATCTTATAGGATCCTATAGGACTTTTTCGTATATATATATATGGGACGTATTAGCCTGTCAAATGAAAAATTTACTAACAAAATAAAATCCATGTGGTAATGGGGGACCGGTGGTGTGTATGTATGTAAAACTATAATCCAGTAATTATCCAACATTTTAATTAGCGAAATAATTTAACGTCTTGGTATTGAAAGTGAGAAAAGGTACCCAAAAATCAATAAATTCCCAGTTTTTAAAGAGTATCAGACAACGATAAATGCAAATTCGTCTAAACTTCCAGGGGACTTTGATATATTAGATTCCATTAACTGGCCATATAGTTTTCGAAGCGTTTTTCTCCTACGATATGCATTTAAAATAGCTTACGAGTATTTACTTATGGGGGTACAATGAGTTATAATCTACAAACTGAATGACATCTGACAAAAAGGGAAGACAATACAAATAGTTAATAGTTCATATTTTGTCCCTGTCCACTCACATATCAGCCGATCCTGAGTAATGATGGCACGTTGCTACCCCCCCCCCCCCCCCCACAAGGAGACTTAAGGAAATCTTTGACTTATCCACTAAAACCTAGAAGCCTTTCTTAATTAAACCA